TGTAGGAAAACCGGTTTAATGAATTGGTTTTCTCACTTAACTACATGCGAGAGGTTTGGAATTCTGGTTTGATAATGGTTTGTTTCTGATCCTGGCCTAGTCCTTGCTGTTTTTCACACCCTGAAAGCAAAATATGGAAAGCAAAGTGGTGTTATGTTCCAGATGTAGCTGGCACAAATGTACATTACTGTAAAACCATGTTAATTCGCTTGGTCAGCTTGTAGTGCCTGGTGTGTCAGTGTCAGATACGGATTTTGGTGTACTGTTACAGTTTCAGATTATTTATATGGGATGTTTTGTAAACCTTAAATGCTCCTCTGCCATTTATCTGACGGACCAAATAAACATGTGAACTCTCCAGGATGTCTGGCTCAAGGTCAGCTACCACATTATCTGCGTTGTCCAGGATATACAGATCTTTCTGGTATAATTCCCCTGTGTATTCTTGCCACCTTTTCCTGATGTCTTCTGCTTCTGTTAGGTCCCTCCCATTTTTGTTGTTTATCATGTCCATCTTTGCACAAAATGTTCCTTTAATAGCTCCAATTTTCTTGGATAATAGTAAGCCCTATATAGAGAGAGTATAGTCCCTAGTTCTTCATAGCCTCTGTGAATCACACTCTAGGCGATCTGTGCATGTGTGGAGCTTTGTTGGAATATTCTAGAGCTTCTGCAATCAAAAGAAGACAAATTAGTACAAGCACTCCACCCACCCCATTATATGTACCTTGGCGTCAAGGTTCTCCCTTCAGTTTCTATTCAACCGCCACATTAAGAGCCTAATTCATAGCCTCTGTGAGTCATTTACTCTTTCTTAAAAAACTTTTTAAAACTCTCCTTATTCCTCTTATTATTTTGCTGTATATTTTTATTCCTTTCCCTTGCTATCAGCTTCAACTTCAGGCCAAGGAATCCCCCTCCCCTTTACTACAGTTCATGGCCTCTTCATCTTCCCAGTGCCAAACCAGCCTAGACAAGTGGGCCTGGAATTGTGATCAGCACCAACTCTAGTGCTAAAGTCTCTGAGAATGAACAGCCTCTCTCTCTCTCTCTCTCTGGGATTTTTTTTTTACGTTACTAGGCTGGCATTTTTTACTAGCCTGCCTCTGGAGCCAACTTAATTTTGAATAGGATGTCTTAATATATTGAATCACACTGTACCAACATGGGCAATTCAAGGCTGCATCCATTCCTGTGGATGCCGCACCAAAACATCTTAATTTTTTTTTTACTCAAACCCCCTTGTGCCCTCTAGAGGCCATTTTTTTTGAAATGTGTGGTCATCCTAGGAGTGCTTGAGAGCCCTGCAAAAGGAGACTGAGCCACATTTTTTTACAGAAGTTAAGAAAAAAACCTGTTGAGTGTTGGGAGCTACATGTTATCCTTCTGGAATAGTGGATTGAGAGAGGAAAGGCAGGAAGTGGTGGCTTTTTTTCTAGTGGAGATATATATTTTGCTGAGTACTTGGTGTCGACAAGCAAAGGTTTCCCAGAGAGTTTGCTCTTTGGCTCTGTTTAAGCAAGTTGTACTATCTTCTTGCACTTTCTCTCTTTGGTGGTTTAATGGAATATGATGCCACACCTGAGGCTCAGCTCCCTGTTTTTTCTTGGTGCTTCTCCTCGGCAGCTCCATTTTGTAGGCCCACCTCTGGCCCATTGAGAAGAGACCTGGAGGCCAGCGCTAGTTCTTGTCACTCACATTACAAAATTATATATTCTCATTTGAAAGCAGTTCCTCTTTATTAGTGTCAATCGGGTGAGTGCTTGAATGCAAAGCTTCAGTAAAGTCTGAGATGCTCAATGACCAGTTACTGGGAAATGGCTTTTCTCTACTTATCAATTAAAAGCAAGCTGGGAATATGCACAATTTAGTGGTGGCGCTGCGGGCTAAACTGCAGATGCCTGTGCTGCAGGGTCAGAAGATCAAGCAGTTGTAAGATCGAATCCACGCAACGGAGTGAGCTCCCGTCGCTTGTCCCAGCTCCCACCAACCTAGCGGTTCGAAAGCATGCAAATGCAAGTAGATAAATAGGGACCACTTCGATGGGAAGGTAACAGCATTCCGTGTCTAAGTTGCACTGGCCATGTGACCATGGAAGATTGTCTTCAGACAAAAACGCTGGCTCTGTGGCTTGGAAATGGGGATGAGCACCGTCCCCTAGAGTCGCACACGACTGGACAAAAATTATCAAGGGGAACCTTGACCTTTACCTTTACCTTACAGCCGAATATGTAGAAACAGGAAATGTATCCTGTTCTCTCTCAGAAAAATGTGGAACTGAATTTGACAAAATATGCCATCTAAATGTATGAATATAATATTTCAAAAGGGTTTTTATGAAGTTAATGTTACTAGTGGCATCTAGTTCAGTATAAGTTACAGAACATATAAAAATCAGAGCACTCAAGCATTGGAGATAGCTGGGAGTTAGGTTGTAACTAGTATGGGGACAAGAGTATCTAATAAGGATTTAATCAGTATGGCCTTAATTTAGGTCTGGTCACTGTAGAAATATCAAGATCAAGCAACTTACCCTGACATCATGTACAGTATTTATAAGAGAGAGATCAAATAAACCAGTGTTTCTCTGTTTGTAGACCTGTAAGGTAGGATACATTGCAAGTCACCCTTTGTCTATGCCTCACAGGTATCCCTGCCACCACTTGCATGTTTTTTTGTCATATGTGATTTTTCCCTCTCTACCCGTATTGTTGCACAGGAGCATGAGAGCTTGCTGTCGAAATGGCAAAACAAAGACATGGAAAACCTAATTGAGTTGCACAACAAAGCTCCAGTATGGAATGATGATACTCAGTCGTATGTCTTGAACTTCCATGGAAGAGTCACCCAGGCTTCGGTGAAGAATTTCCAGATTGTGCATGACAATGACCGTAAGAGCTAAAGCAGAGGGTGGTAGGCCAGACTCCCAGGCCAATAGGTGCTGCAGAGTAGGGAATGCATCCAGAATCTTTCACTAAAATATTCTAGGTTAGATGAGAGTCATTAACTTCTGTAAATTTAATTGCTAGCCAGTCCCAAAATGTTATTCTTCCAGTACTTGGTTTTGCATATTTATAAGCCCTGCTGTCAGCCGACACCGTCAGATAGCCCTCACCCCATTTGAACATACCTTCCCTCCAGACCTTGCACATTGTTGGACTCATCCCAATGTTATCACCATTCCTTCCCATGGTTTAAAATGTTAGCAAATTCTACTGTCAGTATAGCTAAATTTTAGCAGAATGGGGAGATAATGTTGAATGTTACATGGCAGCTATGGCAGGGTGCTTGGACTGAACCTGTGCGTTGTGCGTGAACCTAGTCCATGTAATGTGATTGAGGAAGGGAGATTCTGGGGATACACCTGGCCTTCTGGTAGCGAGCTTTCTGCTGTCCTAGGCTCAGGATGACTCCTCTTTTTAATTGAATAATCAAAAAGGTGGGAGAGAGCATGGATCCCATAATGTGCAGACATTGTGGTAAGGGTGGGGGTTGGCCTACTAACCTGTTCCACATTTTCCTTGTTCTACATTTAAGCATGCAGTATCAGCCACTGACAGATCAAACCCATTGCTGTTCTAAGAGCATTAGCTACCTAGCCCTCAGGACAGTTCAGTCACTTACATGTCCTGAGCCTTACATCTGAAAGCCATGGACTAAAAATTGGGGCAGAAAGACAGAAAGGGTTGGGTACTGATAAATGAAGGAATGGCATCTTGAAAATGGGGCATATGGGATCTTTTGGCCACATAGAATGAAAGGACTTGATTGATGTGAGAGTGGAAAGGGGATGGGGATAGGGATGCTGGATGGGAAACAATCCAGTTAGCAGAGATGGGAGCTGCTTTGCAACATGTGATGTCAAAACTCTTGACATATCTGCCATGATACACTGGACAGTAGCAATTTTCATTGTGCCCATTTAGTCCTATCTCCATATGATGCATGAAGATTATGATTGAGCCTCTCCCTCTTTCTCCCTTTCTCTAGCTGACTACATTGTGATGCAGTTTGGCCGTGTAGCAGAGGATGTGTTCACCTTGGACTTCAATTACCCACTCTGTGCTCTTCAGGCCTTTGCAATTGGACTCTCCAGTTTTGATAGCAAACTAGCATGTGAATGACACACATGGCACATCAATGCTGCCTTATCTTTTTCTCCCTATGCTGATACTTGAGTAAAGAAAATGTACAGGATATAATCAGGAAAGTTTCCCAATTTTTTGAGGATATTGAGGGGAATTTGATTGTTTATGTTTGTTTTTTACCTGATGAATCAAAAACTATCTATACCTAACTGTTTCTAATACCACCTTGGACTGAAGGTGGCTGATGACAGTTCTTTAACAGCATAAATTGGTTCTTACAATCACATACTTTATCCAGTTTTGGTGACATTTTGAGGGCAAACTAATACTAATTTCAAGGGCTTTTTGGAAGCATGCATTGAAAAAATTACGAAATATCAGCTGTTCAAATTTATTTCAGGGAACCTGACAAAATATGGGCAAAATATGTTTATGAAATGAACTATGTTAAGAACAATCTCCAGAATAATAGTATGAAATACTGCGTGCATAAGTGAAACTGTATAAGTGACTTTTTGCAGTTCTCTGTCTTGCATCCAGGCGTGCAGTCAAGTGCTTGCCCCAGGTATGTCTGAGCATGTGACAGCCAGCTGGAATAACTGCAGCCAGTAGTTACACTACACTGCACAAACCCAGTAGGGCCAGTATGACATAGATTGCTATATGACCAGGCTTTTGGGATGTTGGAAAAAAATAATAATATAAAAATCCAGCTCTTCTGACAATCTACCAGGAGGAGGATGTTGTGAGATGTTTCAGTCTCATGGGGCCTTCCCTGTTGGTGGGCCTTGAGTTACCGATTGTGTCTTTTTAGGCTAGCAGGCAGTGTAAGAAAGTCATGCTGCCTGCTGAGTAAGTACTGGGAAAACAGAGATGAGTGGTTGCAAGATTTGGGATGTCCAGGTTGGAGTGGTCTGCCATAGTGTTGGTGCATTCTTATTTCCTTTGTTCTCTACCCTTTACTTTCTAGCCATTTTATCCAGCTTAACTCTCCAACCACATTCTCCAAGCCGCTGCAGAGTATGTCTTGTTGCTGCTGCTGTTTAGTTGTTAAGTCGTGTCCGACTCTTCATGACCCCATGGACCAGAGCATGCTAGGCCCTCCTGTCTTCCACTGCTTCCCGGAGTTGGGTCACTGCCTCCATATCTTCCCCTTCTGTTTGCCAGAAGGTGATGGGACCAGTGGCCATGATCTTAGTTTTTTTGATGTTGAGCTTCAGACCATTTTTTCCACTCTCCTCTTTCAACCCCATTAAGAGGTTCTTTAATTCCTCCTCACTTTCTGCTATCAGACTGGTATCATCTGCATATATGAGGTTGTTGATATTTCTTCCGGCAATCTTAATTCCAGCTTGGGATTCCCCCAGTCCAGCCTTTCACATGCTGTATTCTGCATATAAGTTAAATAAGCCAGGGGACAATATACAGCCTTGTCGTACTCCTTTCCCAATTTTGAATCAATCAATTGTTTCATATCCAGTTCTGATTGTTGCTTCCTATCCCACATAGATTTCTCAGGAGGTAAAGTATGTCTTACAGTACCTTTTATTTCTTTTTCTGGCTGCCAAAATCTGCTTCCCTAAGCCCCTTGCACACACACAAACACACATCGTTTATGGCTGGTGGTACAGGCATCATTGTGTAGGAGGAACAACAATGAAGGGTTTATATTATAGGTCTACTATCACAGATTATATTAGAACAGTTATTATTAACTTTTAATTGTTTTTATCTACTTTTTATACATTTGCATGTAAAAATATTTATATTAAAACTATACAGGAGGCAAAATAATAGGAGTCCATGACTACTATGGAAGTTAACTTTTTTGATGGTTGTTCAGAAAAGTTAAACAAAGAGGAGTATGGAAGCTGCACTTTGATGCACTTTTATGAATTGTGCCTTTTTGCAGCTCTGGTCTTTTTTAGTAACTGGAATCCTCTTCTCTTTTCTGGGAGGAAGTCCCATGGCATTTAGTGAGGTGTGCATCTGGGTAGACATACACAGAATTACTTTTTAAGTCAGGCAGATTGTCTTCAAACGAGCAAACTTGAAGAAACATGCTGTAATACATGTACATAATATGAAAATGGATTGCAAGTAATAATCAGATAGGGCATCCAATCAAGCTAAACAGCAAACACTGATTAAAAGTTTGTAAAGAACAAAAGAATGAGGATAAGAGTATAGTGCCATGACAGAAATGCAGGATTCATTATCATTGTCCCATGTCATTTGTTTTAAAATCAGTAAACCAGTTGAGGGTGTATCGGAGTCATGAGTCCTGTACAGATGTTCATATGCACAGGGAGGGGTATGCAAAGCCACGCCCCCAATGTCCCTGGCATACATGCTGTTAAAAAAAAACCACATGCTCATGCATTTTAATTAAAACATTTTGGTGAAAAGGCTTACCAGTTTCATGATTGGGAATTCTGTCTTATCAGATTTCCCAATCTGAAGAAAGTTTGTAAGCATGTTCCAGTGAACAAGTTTAAAACTTTGCTTCAATCATAAACATACTAAGCATATATGTGAGGGAGATTGCGGCTAGCTTTGTAAGCACACATCCTTCCTTGATTTTCACCCTTGCATGAACAGACTGAAGAACTGTGTATGGTTATGTTATAGAGCCAATGAGTACTGCAATGATGATGATGATGGTGGTGGTGATGATAAAAAAATTGAGAACCAGGAAATAGCATAATTTAAAGGGACACAACACTGTTGTTAAGTTACCAGAGAAAGACTGTTGAAAGCAAGACCTCTTCATTTTTATGATGGCCCTTAATACTGATAATGCAAAGGATTGTAGAAATAAACACTAATTGGGAAGTCGTAAGAGATATTTCATCATCTTTGGTTATATGTGATGCATCAAGGCTGGTTATTCATATGAATGGTGAGATGCTGGTCTGTACTGTAAATGATTATACAGTTTAAAACAAAGAGAAATATGACTGGGTTCTTTTGAAAATGTTCATTTTGAAAAATGTAGTATAGCAATGAGCTTTAAAATATCATCAATCATAAACAAATTGGCATTACATTATTTACATTATTTATTACAGCTTATACCTACACTTTAGAATCAAAACCCCTTCCATGCATTTACTTTGTGTCCATTGATTGTATAAATACAAATTGATTGATTTTTAATTGTTATCCTTAGTGTTTAATATACCTTTCCAGAAACACAATTCTGTTCTTGGTGGATGCTGGTTTATGGACCCTCTGTTAATGTATGTGAAAAGGGGAACCAACATTCTAAGACTGAGTTATGCCTCATAATTCTGGTGTGTTAGTTTGTCATTAAGGACCACTTCCCAGATATTTAGAAAGCATAATTCATAGTGTACCCTTTCTCCACTTCCAAGTGTCATGCCATACCTATCCTACCTGCTGCTAATAATAAAAAAAATTAAGTTTTTATCTAAAAACTCTGTGTGTTATTAAAAATAGAGAGAAAGGCTATTTGTGAGGTTCTATGAACTTTTATGTTATTTGGGAGATGTGTTTAAAAATGGTCATCCAAAGTATTTCCACATATTCACCGATCCACTTCAAGTGGAACAACATGTCTTTGAAATGACAAGCTCTCCTACAATTTGGAATGTGTGTTGAGGTGGTTTATTTTCACTGGTGTTAAATGGCATCTCCACAACAAGCTCTAAATGTATTTCTCTAATTACTGCTGAAATAGATTTCAGTGGATTCTTTCTCAAGATTACATCCTACTGTGTATGCATAATCTGTTCTGTTGCACTGTGTTATCAATCAACCACAGAGAGTACTGTAAACATTTAGTCTTACCTTGTGCTCACACAGACTCATTTTCAAAACTTAGGGATCATGTTGCCTTGTTCTCATACAATTTTTGGGAAAAAGTCTGTCTCTGTATGATTTTAAACCAATTATTTTCTATGCCATGTAATTTGGTGATCTGTACAAAGGGCTCCCTTCCTTCTGCCACTATGAGATAAACTTTCCATCTCTTCTTAGACTGCAGGCAGGTTCCTAATATTGCTTGTATTTATCTAGGTGTTTGGTGCTTAATCAGGAGAATGCTTATGGTATGGAGCCAGTAAATACCACATACTGTACTGAATCCAGTAAGTGAATAAGCAGCAATGTGGGAGGAGCAGGAAGTTTTTCAGGAGGCTGGTACTTAAAATTTATTTTTTTTAAAGGGGATTGTAGTTGTTTAATTCTGGGGTACCAGAACATGGTTTCTGAATGCATTGACTTAAAACACACCCACCTTTATGAGAACATGTCATTGAAACTCCAGTTAAGGCAAACAGAAATCTGGGTTCTCTGTCAAAATATTTTAAGGAGACAATAATATCTAAATATTCTAATAACACCTACCATGTTTCCCCGAAAATAAGACAGGGTCTTATATTAATTTTTGCTTTAAAAAAAACGCATTAGGGCTTATTTTCAGGGGATGTTTTATTTTACAGTCATGTCATCTGCTTGCTGCACAATGCTGCACAATGGTGGAGGGCGGGATTTCACTTAACTGGGGCTTATTTTTGGGGTAGGGCTTATATTATGAACATCCTGAAAAATCATACTAGGCCTTATTTTCAGGTTAGATCTTATTTTTGGGAAAATGGTAGAATAAAGAATATGTGCTCATATGTCATGAAATCATGCACAAATGGTCTCTGTAATGGAGAACTATATTGGACTCTGATTTTATTAAGCTCACATGAAAGGTGGCAGAGATACACCATTTAAAAAATAATTCTTAGACATACAGATTTCACTGAGCACCAAATAACCCATCTTCCTTTTGGAGGTACATTCTGTCAAAACATCAAAGAAACTGGTATAAAATATACATTCTGTCAAAACATCAAAGAAACAGCTATAAAATATTTATGGCATTTTACTATTTTGCCTCTTCAGCAAATATTTAATATGCCAAAATATGGGCAAATATAAAGGCAACTAAAAGTCATCAGTGATGCTATTTTTCCAGTTTTAAAACTTTCATTGTTCTTATTACAAAACTGCATATATTTACATTTTAATTGATGTACAATGATTTTGGCAGCCAGTTAAATTTCTATTTTCTCAGTATTACATTGTCATAGAAGCCTTATTCATATACCAAACTATGCATCACTTAGAGCTGTATGACTAAGACAATTCATTTCTCAACTTTAGTTATTCAAATGTTACATTTTGTTTGAAATAGATTTCAATTAGCTGCCAATTTGTAATTATTCAGTTTATACTTTTAAAACTGTTTCAGATTACCCTAGTACAAGCACCAGTGTGCTTTTTTATCATCATCAATGGAAAACTCAGCAGTGGCCAGAGGATTGGAAAAGATCAATCTACATACCAATCCCAAAGAAGGGAAGTGCCAAAGAATGCTCCAACTACCATACAATTGCACTCATTTCACATGCTAGCAAGGTTATGCTCAAAATCCTACAAGGCAGGCTTCAGCAGTACGTGGACCAAGAACTCCCAGAAGTACAAGCTGGATTTCGAAGGGGCAGAGGAACTAG